GACAGCGGTACTTTCACGAGGGCGTTTGATCCCACGTGGTGAACGGTTTGTTTCTATTGCTCCCAGTTCCTTTTCCTGAATTCAGTCTTTAGCAAGAACCCGCCGGTGTGATAGGTGCTCAGTGACTCCACAGTGCTGATGGGAAGGACAGAGCACTTATCATTGTTGACCGGCAGATCCCACTTGGTTGACCAGGTGTGTAGTGGATCTAATGTTTTCTGTAATCGGTCGGCGTCTTCGAGCTTGGACATTTCTGATCATAGCTTGAGATCATCTGCAAAGATCAGACACTGTTTATAGCACTGTTGGTAGGTCATTGATGTAGATCTCCCACAGTTCCAATCCGAGAACAGAACCTTGTAGAACACCATTAAACGAGCACTGGGAATAAGCGGGTTTTGTTTTCCTCGATCTGCATGCTCCGACCTTGCACGAAATCAGTAATCCATACTAGGGCGTTCCTTGTTATGCCAATTCCGCAGAGCTTAGAGTAATTGCTAATGTGGGACCCTGTTAACAACTTCACTGAAGTCGATGTATATCACATCTAAGCGTTTTTCAGCATGCAGTGACTTTTCCCACTTCTCTCGCGTCAAGCAGGTTAGTGTTGCAGGAACATCCCCTTCGGAAGCCATGCTGAGTAGACGAGGTGGTGTTCAGATCTTCGCAGTGTCAATGGATGGCACATTTAATCAAATGTTCCATAATCTTGCATGCGACCGACATCAGACAAATCGACCGACAGTTCGCACGATTCTGGCGATTTCCACCCTTGTATTTAGGCATAGCTACGCCTGTCTTACAGTTGAGAGGTAATCGACCTGCTTACAAAGAGGACTGCAAAACTTGACAAAGTGGGGCGGCTATGTATTCTGCCACCATTTTGAGAAGCAGGGGGTGTAGTCCCTCTCGGCCTGGTAAGGAACCTGAGTTCAGTTCAAGTAGTAGCTTCATGATACCACCTACATCTATGTCGATTGCTCCAGAGGTACAACATATGCAAGTCCGTGGTTGTTTGCCAGTATGTCTCTCCTCGTGTATATTGCGGAGAGCTGTAGAGTCAAGAGGTCAGCTTTGACGTCATCATCATGAAGGATAACACCCGGCTCGTTGCAACGAACCGGTTGCGGAATACCTGTGTTGTCCACCATGGTGGCGTGAGGCGTTAAAGCGTGAGAATGGGTTCTTTGCCCTAGAAAGAGATTGTTCAGCCAAGCTGTGCTCATGTCGTTTCTTCACGTTTCTGTGGGGAACAAAGGTTTCTGTTGGTTTTATAGTTATAATAATCAGAGTCCAAGCGGGCAAGTTTGAATTTTCCCATAGTTTTCGTCGTTGTTTCATGTTGGCCGTGAGTTCTCGGTCAATCCAGGGGACCTTTGACAGAGGCCTGTTTCTATGTAATGGGACGACTTCAGTGTGTAGCTTTAGCTTGGAGAATAAATCGTTCCAAACAACATCGAGTTCCAAGTGTTGTGGAACATTCCAGTCAGGTGTACTCGCTGCCGTTTTAACCTCGTTACATTGGTGCGCCATAAGTTGCGACGGAGTGCGTTCCGAGCTTAAATGGCTAGGCGTTTAGTACGTAAGAAGGAGATCGTACAGTGGTCGCTGTACGTCAGTTCCGAGACATTGGACAGAGCCGGAGTGTGCCCAAGATCAAGAGTGTGCGGAGTATGGCCGGGAAGAATCCGAGTGGGTGATGCTATATCCTAGGAAATATTCGTTTTGAGGTGATTTTTAAGGAGGCTAGTGTCAAAGGACTCTGGAGGGCGGCGCCAGTGCAGGAGATCCCAGTTGACATCCGAGTCGTTGAAGTCATCCATAATAAGACAATCTCTTTGGTTTCCATGCGTTTTGACAAAGTTTACCACAGTGGTACCAGGACCCCACGGGGCTTTGTACACAACCCCAACCATACGAGATTCGAAGCCTGTTCTTTTGTGTACTGTCAAGACAATTTAAGCGTGGTTCCAATCTGATTGCGTTTTCATCCCAAAGCTCTTCCTGTATGTTTCATTTAAGTTTTCATAATTGGTAATCTTCCCTTTCTCTTCATAGTGTTTTTCATGACATCTGGCCAAGCTAATTTTGGGGCTGTCTGGCAACCCTTACTTTCCCATAACCTTGCTTCGGTGTTTCCGATTCAAATGTTTGCCTAATCGAGGTTAATGCTCCTGTTTCCCCCAGGATTGCTTCGTAATCCACTACTTACCCTCTCCACTTTTCACCGCATCATCACGACTGTGCCGGATAATATCAACGATCGGTGCTTTAGGTTGGGGCTTGTTCTACTTCGTATTAAGAGTGAGCGAGAACCAAACCGAAGGCTGGCATACCTCAACATGCACACTTTACTGTAGAACAATCAACAGACAGCACTTGCCCAAATACTAGAGGCCCTATCGATCGATAGCTGCTGCTAATCGGATACTCGCCTGTAAGATTTTAGCTGTGCTCACCCTGTGGCCCCACAACAAATGGCACTGGCGGCATTTTCTTACTGCATTTGTCTATAAATGACGCAGCGTCAAATGCCGGTCAAGTTAGTGTGAGCACTGCTCTGACATTCTGGTCCGAGGCTGCCCTAATTGATTGGATCTCAATGAACGGCCAAATGTGCGCTGTCTGGTTACCTGGCTCGTTCAAAGCTTCAAAATTGAGCGTGGACAAACCATACCTGTTTATCATTGCAGCATACGCCCTCACAAATTTCAGCATGGCTTCGGTGAGAGATGAATTCTATCACCAACTGACCGAACTTCATGGAAAAAGCTGCCGATACTTTGGTGCTTGCTGGTGATTTGAACCACCAAGTTGGGAAGCTGTTCACCGAGGAGCTGCATATTGGCAGCAAACACGGTGTAGGCTTCCGTACTGATAAGTGAGCGGTTGCTACACCTGTGTGAAGGTGCTCGCCTAATTCTCGTGAGCACTAACTTACGACACAACAACTTGTCATACACCAGCCACGGACCAATCGTCGACGCGAATCGGCAACATTGCGATCAATTACCGTGGGAGAGGCTACGTCCAAAACTAACGCTCGATTGAGAGCACGAGCGTGCACTCGTTTGTGCTGATCTTAGAGATCACTTTGGTGTACGCATGCGGCAACGCTGTGATCTCATAGACATCCGCCAACTGGCGAAGCCATGCGTTTTTAATGCGTATTTAAGTAAGCTGGCATGCGAGCTGAGGAAGCGATCCCTGAACGTAGCGGGCGGCCACTAGTCACATATCCGCCATATGTTCTTAGCAACAGACATCTCCATACGAAAAATCAGATTGCTAACTTGGACGTTGGATCTCTACACAGTCTCTGGAACGTATTGACGATACTACTAAAGACCTCAGAGCAAAACTCCGTGCTAGGCTGAAGAGAGACCGCGAATCCTTGTCGTCCCATCGTGCGTCAGAGATGGAAGCGGCTGCTGCTCTTGGTAACCATTGGGCTTTATCCCATCAGATCCGGTAAACGGGCATTAGGAGACCTGATGTTAGTGAAACTATTTATGATGAGAGTGGATAACCTATCCACAACTTGTCAGAACTCTTGGAACACTGGGGTGAACACTTTGAAAGACAATTTAATCGGCCGGAATGGTCAGGTTTCTTGCCGGCCATTGATCGCCTTGCTCCCTGGACTGTCCCTTTGGTTCCGCTCTCGCTCAAAAGTCGAACGTGAGGTCGAATTGCTGAAGTTGAATAAAGCCGTGGGACCAGATGATCTACCTCCGGCTCTGTTCAGATTCGGGAGCCCTGCTCTTGTTGATGATTTAGTACTTAGTAATTTACTAGTGAAACTGTGGGATGTGGAAACTGTCCAAACGGACTGAACCCGCTCCACCATTGTCCCAGTTTCCACTGGACGCTCACGTTCGGAATGCAGTAACCATAGGGGAATCAGTCTGATCTTCATCTCCAAATTACTTGCCGTTGTCATCCTTCACAGACTGACTAGCAGCAGTGAATGCCAGATTCGTGAGGAGCAAGCCGAGTTTCGTCGAGGTTGAGGCTGAATTGATCATATCTTTGCGTCAATTATTGGAGCTCCGTCACATATATTGGCGGCCCACTGCTGTCGTGTTCCTCGATATCGAAGGGGCCTTCGATTCGCTTGGTCTATGTGCCCTTTGGAACTGTAAACTCAGTAAAGGTATGTCCGAGAAATATGTACATATTGTCCGAGCGCTGTACGCGCGTAGCTCGGGCAGAGAGGCAAACTGTCACCGTCCTTCAATACCTCCGGCGGTCTACAACAAGGATGATCGCGGTCGCCTTTCCTATTCAGCTTCGCTATTGACGATGTCATGGAGGTCACTTTCACAGGACAAGACTCAGGTGTAGATCTGCTCCCGGGCGAATAAAGTTTTGTGTTGGCGTATACTGACGACATTTCCCTAATCTGTGACAGCTCACAAACGTTCCAAACGGCACTGAACAGCTTAGAACTGGCGTGTATGATTTCCCAATTAGACAGGAATGTTTCTATTCGGCTTGTTGGAGGAGTGTGGGCCGGATCCGTTGATGAAACCTGGCTGCTATTTGCATGCTTCCCGGTCTTATTCCTTCGGGTTTACACCGGACATGGGGTGTGTGGTTTGAACTGTGGATGGTGCAGCACAAGCCATCCATGGTCCCTCTATAAGCGCGGGCGTCCTGTGGCTATCCTATGGAGGCCGCAGTGACAGGCAAATCCGGACATGGAAGCCGCCAACCATATATATATATATATATATATATATATATATATATATATATCATATATATATATATATATATATCATATATATATGGTGACTTGCGTCAATCAAACACCCCTTTGTCTTGTCTCTTACATCAATTTATGCACTCAGTAGTCCGCGAATTATGATCAAGTCTTCTTCCTTTTCATAGCCGTTCATTTATCTTAACGATTTCTGTTACCCAATTGCTACAGCGTTGTTTTTGAATCAGCAGGGAGGTACTTCTTCCTCATAGATATTTAGCATTCTCTTAACTCGGATCATTCATTATTGATTTCACAGTACACTGCAGTCAGTTTTTTCCAATCACTAAAATGCGCGAAAGCACTAAGCCATATATCCCTATTTCAGTTTTGTTGTGTTACGTTTTTTAACTACCGCATTTCTTGCTGGATATTTTGGAACTTTTTCAATGAATGGGCTCTTTGCAGCTCGTGAAGTATTAGGGCACTCATCTTTCACCTGTTACCCGGAGCGACAGTTTGTTTTACGTAATTACGAATAGACGCCTCTATTTTTGACCTCGATGCCTCCTCCCTTATATCCATCAACCTTAATTTATCCGTTCGCCACGATTGTCATCCGTCTTGCATCACTGGTGATTGTTGTCCCTCATATTTTCTTTTTTCAGCCTTTCTACTTCTACGGAGACATTTTTCAGCGTGAATTCAATACTTCCCAAAAAAGATGTGCCAACCTGCAGTGTTACGCTAAACGAGTCACGGGTTGTCGCTTGCCAAACTTTCTGTGGGTGCTATCCGGTGTGTGTCAGTGCAGAATCCGCTGAGACCTATGTTACCCCCGAGCGCTTCATTCAGAGTTCACTTTGCCGCTGTGGCCAGTGCTACTCACAGCTTCAGCCGCAAGTATCAAAGCACCCCTGTGCAGTTTCGACGAACACTGAGCGATATGTTTCACTTAATTCTCCCTATTCGTGTCCACCTACCTCGGCAGGGCAAACGGCAGTCTATCCTTCAGAGGATGACTCCTCAGCATCTGAACTTGACACAACCATACCCGAGAATCCCCAATCATTTTGTCCATTTTTGGGGAAAATGAGCCACAAACTGAGCGAAGATTCGCATAATAGGGAAATTAAAATGCTCGAGCACTTCTACGGTGGACACTTACGCTCTCAACGGGCGGCTCGCATCATCCAGAATGCTTATAGGATTTATCGGTTGAAAAGCGAATACGCTCGTATGCGCATGCAAAAAGAAGCGAATCGAGAGCCGACCGGTTCACTTTTACACCCCATCAATCCAGACAAATTTTGCCATCGCTCGCCGAGATTTGATCCACGCACATCTCAGATCTCTGCCATATCTTCTGGAAGCCTCGAAGATCTGTTTCTCGAACAAGCCTATGTTGACTGGGCGCTGAAGGCAGCCACGGCACAAGCTACCTACGGCATTCCGCCTGTTTCTGACGTCCCTAGCATAGCTGCGTGTGATGGAGCGCCGTTCGATTTGGTTCCTTTGTGCCCTACACCTGCCTCCTACGCTATAAATCCTTCGGAGCAGTCAGATAGCAGTTGTTTGATTAATGGACTGCTTTCCCCTCCACAGAAACAGAACACAACCTATGTAACCAGTACTGCATCGCCACGTGATTTGGGACTGACGGAACAATCGGCTTTTCAACACTCTTCAGCCCATCTTTCAACTCTCTCCGATATAGCGCCTACAAGTTACGACAGACCCTGTCATGTAACTACCTCGTTGGTTGCTGGGGCGCTTTCTTTAGGTCGATTGGCGTCTACTGTCGATTCACTCAAACCACCTTATTGTACAAACAGTCCTGCTCCTGTCATGCTATCTTGCGAGTTACCACGACGTCGAACGTATCCTTCTCGCGAATCGTCATCACCTCCATCCACTGACAAAAGCTCCTCGAGGACCGAGGAATCAATCATTACGCCGGTTATATCTCCGAACCAGTGGGATCAACCTCACTTAAGATGTCCTCATGCAACTTCGAGATCTACCCACATACCATATGTTCAGCATACAACCACGGAGTCTAGCCCATTCATGGTACCCGGATTGAGTGTCCCCGTTTCTTCCCGTCTGGACCAACAACCTGGATTTCAATGCTCCTGTTCACACTGTCCTAGATCTCATATTGCCCACACATCGGTCGCAAACGCTGTTCTGCGTAATCGCTCAACCCACCTATACTCGGTCCCAGCTTGTGATCGGCTAGGTATTCATATTTGTCCGGCATCAACTTCTAACCGCACATTTCCTAAATCCACCTCACATTGTCATGCAATGTTCGGTAAATATCACACAAATCACTCCTGCCGACCGATTTTTGTCGCTGTGCCTTCCTCGATGATGGAGCAGTGTTATACCCTTGACCGCGATCTCAGTGCGCCTCTCTCCCACACTCCCTCAGCTCCATTGGCTGTAAAATATACGAACTCAAACCACATCCTCTTTCGGACTCCTTGCTATGTGAATCACCGAGCCCAGTCAAACGGAGCGCAATGCTGTTCATCAACTTCGCATCCTCCTTCCATCGCTTCAGTGGCTCCAATACATCACACCACGACCCAACTAGGCAGACATCAGCTTCGAGTCTGGGAGAAGAGGCGAAAGCGCACGTACAGGATCGGGTTGAACCTTTTCAACAAGTTAGTCTTTGGTATTATTTACCGTGTCTTTTTGATGCAGGCTTTCCGGATCCCAGATTTCGCTCTTAACTTCCCTACCTTTTCATTGACAGATTGACCAGAGCGATGCTTTTTGTTTTTTTTCTCAGAGCAGCCTTTATTTTCTGTGCATTACCGGTACTGTTCAGTTTGAGTAGATTACATTCGCCACCGTATATATTTCATGGTTTAATTACTGCACGTATGTGTACCCCGGTTAGGCTTGCTATACTTGTGTAAGATTCACTTTTGGTTAGGGCAAGTTTTCATGAAACGCAGTGAACGTGATAATGTTGAAGTGTCAATTTGCTCTACAGAACACGCAAGTCTTCGACCACGTTCTCATAATTCTTTCTTGACGACTTCGGATGTTATTCATGCCTTCATGCATTCGGCAGACTGATGAGTGCTCCCAATTGAAGGGGTGGTCACGTTATGTTCCTAGCATTGCTATTTTCCATACAAATTAGGAGAGCGTTTAGGGGCACATAGAACTCTAATACGTTAGTATCGAACTGTGCAAATATCAGGTGTTTGTGATTAAAACGAATTGTTTTTTAATTAGAAGCTGTGGTGGCAGCGGCAGAAACACGTTTCACGTCATTTGAGTTACGGGCCGTTAAGATGTTTTTGTTTCTTCAGAAACATCTTTCCTACAGCATTGTTAAAACCAAGATATCTCGTTTCAACATTGGTCATTACAATATTCAGGTTGAGCCCCGCAATGGTTGTCCCCAAACCTCAACTGATCGACATCCTGCAATGCTATCCATGAACTGATTATGGAGGACCGGCGAATATTCACTATAAAGTGCCCACATACTGGGCATCTCTCGAGAAGTTTGTTATCTCTATTGTCCTGATCATGTGTAGGCTTACAGCAAAGTGTGTGCCGAAATGTATGACCAGTGATCAGAAACGGAGTTCAGGCTACTCCGCGACAGCCTTATCATCACCGTTAGCTACATCATTCGGGGGGTTCACATAGTTGAAGCACACCAATTCACTCCCTTCATCTAGTTTTACGCGCAATTTCCAGTTTACTCTGCATCTGGATGTTCTGTCGAGCGACTTAGATGACTGTTTGGGACGTGTCCCTGCTGTTTTGACAAGTAGTATCCTTATTTGGGAGAAGATTCTTCAGTCCGTCAGGCAGCCGCAGCACATTAGTAAAGGCGCTAGACGTCCGTCTTGTCCCATTGGAATTCATTACCATACTGCTTTTATCAAAGCGGCTGCGTTGTATGCAGTCGGATTCTCTGCACCTTTGCGCATTGGCGACATTGTTTTGTCTGGATATTATGCTCAACCTTTATCATTGAGGCTATTGTCATATTAACTGCGGGACATTATGCACTTTAAACTCTTAAACGTGTGGTCAAGCGAAATCCTAGATCACTTTGGACTTTGTTCCGAACTCTGTTATGATCAGATCACCGCTCAAAGGACTCGACTTTCTCATCAAATGGAACTTTCTGGATTGTGCACCGGAAAGTGTCGCCCGCTTTCTTTTAACTCGCAAGGGAGTGAGTCGTGCGGCTATTGGTGACTACCTTGGAAACACCAAAGATGAAATGGCCATGTCAACAACACGGTAAGCTTAGTTTTCACCTCTTATTCTGATTTGTAAAGCTAGTATCCTTTAGTATAAGGAAACTGCGTTTCTCTTTTAAATGAACAGAATGACAAACGGATGTATGTATGTATGTAATCTCAACAGTCTATTAACTAGACATAGAGCCAGCATAAAACCATGGAGATCAGGAGATAAGCAAGAATCATCGCGTCATAATCATCGTGGCATGCTAGTTGAAGGTGAGCAACACACTTCAACTAATATGCCGCAGGAAGAATGGAACATATTGACAAAAAGTAGAACAAAACATTTTTAGTTTGTTTTCACAGGCCGCTTTTGCTTTTTTTGTCAGTTTAGTGTTTGTAGTATTAAACATGTGAATCAATACAATACTGTACACAATTCTTCCATTGATTCCTGTTGCGGGCCATGTCTTCAAGAGTGTTAAGCCATTGGCACTCCTCCTTTTTGGGTCCCCATCCTGGAAGACGTACGGATCCAACAGCGGCTAGACACGACGTCAGCGATTACATGTGCTGCCGCCATGTAAAAGGCTGACCACCACGCGGTCGCCTCCAGCCAGGTCCTTGACGAGCGAATAGAGCACGACGCGGTAGACGCTCAGATGCCATGCGTAGGACGTGACCGAGCCATCTTAACTGGCGCAACAAAATCAGTTTGTTGAAGGGAATACTCGCATTCCCCAAGATGCGACTTCGAACGTCATTATTATTAACTCGATGTTGCCACCAAACACGAGCGATCCTCCTTGAGCAACCGTTATCAAAGGCAACAAGACGACGCATGTCTTCCACGCGAAGCGGTCAGGACTCGCACCCATACAACAATACTGAGCGAACTGATGCGCTGTAAACGCGGCCCTTTAGTTAGAATGAGACGTCGCGACGACGCCATAAGTGCCTCAGATTGACAAATGCTGATCGAGCTTTAGCGATACGAAGAGAAACTTCTTTGTTGATAATGCCGTCAGCAGAAACACAGCTCCCAAGGTAGACGAAACTAGCTACCTGTTCAAGTTGTGCACCTTCGAGAGTGAGTACGGGAGCAGGTGGAAGCCAATCCTTGAGCAGTACTTTACACTTCGATGGGGCGAAGCTCATGCCATACTTAGATGCTTCAACCACCGAACGATCCAGAATGAGTTGCATACCCTGAGGATCGTCACCAAGTAAGGCGATATCATCAGCATAATCGGTCGCGCGCTCACCCGGTAGAAGCTCTAAGCTCTAAGCCTTCTAGAGCGTTCGACAGAACGTCTTCGATTGCGAAGTTGAAGAGGAATGGGGAAATAGGGTAGCCCTGTCGCACACCGCTATTGACAGCGAATTGCGAGGAAAGCTTGCCATAGACCCTCACTCCGCGGGATGTATGAAGGTAAAGTACTCGTAAGATGGCGGTATATTTCTCTAGCACCCCTTTCTTTAGTAAGCAACGCCATAGAGCAGGTCGATCAACGGAGTCAAAAGCGGCACGTATGTCCAGAAATGCAACGATAGTGGGCCTGTGATAAATGTAGCGATGTTCAAGGAGCTGGCGAAGCGTGAAGATTTGATCCACGCATCCGCGGCCAGGACGAAAACCAGCTTGTTCTTCACGGTAGTATGATTCACGTACTGGGGATAGTCTGCGAAGCAGAATGGATGCCAATAGCTTAGAGGCAACCGAAATAAGACTAATCCCGCGATGATTTGCACATGAAGTGCGAGCGCCTTTCTTGAAAATTGGGACAATAACTGATCCGCTCCAAGAGGAAGGCACTTTCTCTTCATGCCAAATTTTTGCGAACGGCGCGGTTATCTGGTTAATGATCGCCACACCGCCGTACTTGAATAGTTCCGGATTAAGTCCGTCTAAGCGGGCGACTTGAAGCGCTTCAAGAGTCGAATCTCGAGGCAGACTTCCGCCTCGCTGGGTGGATTCAGTGGGATGAGCCAGGGTGGACAACAACGTGTACTGCATGTACTGATGGATGGTGGAGGCCAGTTGAACTGCGAGTGAATGTGCTCGGCCCAGCGGTCCATACGACTCTGTTGGTTGGTGATCGGTGACTCATCCACCTCACAAATGACCTCACTGACACCAGGCTTCCTGAGGCCAGTGGACCGAATGCGTTGGAAAAGCCTGCGATTGTTGCCAGAGAGGGCAGCTGTCTCCATCACTAAAGCACGCTCAGACCAGCATGTCTCGCGATCCTTGCATAGGCTTTGCTTGAGCAGCCGGTTGGCAGAACGGCGCCGCTCGTTGCAATCTGATTCCGCGGTGATATCTTTGCGGCGTTTGAACAGCTCCAGAGAACGAGCAGAGATTCAAGCCTTCAAAGGGTGTCGAGTTAGGCCGCAGCATGACTGTCCGGAAATGGTTATTGTCTTCCGTATACAAGTCCAGTGTTGTTCCACTTCTTGCGGTGGATTGCAACTGATTGCATATGCCAGTGAAGACTGATAGCTTGCCTGGACAAAGGAATCAGTAAATCTGTTTACATCAATCTTGCGGTGCTTCGTGTTTCGGGATCCTCCAAAACATACAGATTTTCGCGCAGACCAGAGCATGATCTGAGTCAACGAAGGTGGACCAAAAGGACCTGCAGTCCAGTACGCTGCCGCGCCATCTGAAGCTAATTGCAATGTGATCAATTTGAGACCACGGTTGTGTTGGCGAAGGGGGACGCCACGTTGCAGAACGCTTCTTCGTACGCTTGAAGTTAGTGCTCGAAAGAAACAGACGGTTGTCTTCGCACAATGTGAGAAGTCTCTCTCCGTTAGCAGAGCGGTTCTTATCGAGCGAGTGATGACCACCAAGGTGGCGTTCGTATGGTAACAGGCGGCCAACCCGTGCATTAAAATCCCCAGCAAAGATAACCACATCCGGCTTTTTAGCGTTAGTCAAGAGCTGTTGTAGATCCCGATAGAATTCGTCCTTGACCGAGTCGCCACTGCAGTCAGTTGGAGCGTACACGGAGATCACAAACAAGTTGCGTCTCTCGTCTTGGTGCCTGTTGATTCTACATGAACTCCGAAGCCGAACTGCACATAGTCGGCTGTTAATCGGGAACCAGTCCAGTACCGCCGCCTCGGCCTTGCCACTCAGTGCTATGCCTACACCAGCCAAACCCGCTGAGGCTGCTTCTGAATCTCCAGAAAGACGCAGGTATTATCTGGCTTCGTGGTCAGTGGGGGATGTCAATGTGAGTACAGTGCTGGGATCTTGCAATCGGGTTTCTGAAAGGCAGCAGACATCAGTGTCAAGGGAATCTAAAGTGCGCGGTAGACCGGCTTGCTGTCCAATCTGCATGATTGTCCGAACGTTGCAGCACGCCAGACGGAACGAGGATCGGGGACGAAGGAGAGCCATAGGTTGAATTCCTTGGTCTGCAGCGCAACCGGAATCGCAGCCAGATTGTTGAGCACATGAATCGGGTAACGGAAAGTGAGGATTGTTAACAAACAAACAATTGGCGTGTGATGAAGTGGCGTGAAAGTGACTAGCAGAGACAGTAGCGGATGCGCACTTTGTAATACAGTCCATGGTTTTGCGAGAGGGCGTGATACTACCCGGTTGCCCAAGCGGAAGTAGGGAGTTGACTTAGGGGACTCCACCCCGAGCCTTTGGCTAAATAACCTACCCGCAAGGCAGCGGGGCGAATTTAGGGAATCGCGCCCATTTGGAGGCGTTGACTGAATGTTCAGTTCATGCGTCTTTGTTTGGTAGATTACCAAACGGGGGCCCAATACTCCCCATGAAGTCAGCACACCTGCTGGAATACAATGTCCCACCGAGGTGGAACATTGTCGCCGAACACTTTGCTGGAACGGGGTACACCCGAACCACCCAGCTGGCACCACGAGGAGGTAGTTCGGAAGCCAGCCACAAACGGATGTAAGCACTGTGGATCCATTTTCCGGTGCTTTTTATCTGTCACTGGAACCAATGTTTTGAGTACTACCTTCACATCACCGATGTTGCTTGCAGTCACATCCGTCAAGATTCGCTGGGTTATACTCTCTATACGTACGTATGAGCCAGATGCTTGATGATAGCAACAGCACACAGTACTAGCCGCTTATCTCCCTCTACTTTGTTTTATCTGGTACGAAAACACCGGCATCGTCTAAATTAACCAAAGTGTGAAACTTTTACTAGCATTCTTGTCTCAATACGTCAAGCCAACAACTCTCCACTTCGGTTCAGGTATGAGTTCCTTGGCGTAGCCCATCTCGCCGGCTACCATCGTTCCCATAACTACTGACACCTGCTCGTCCCTTTGTCCAGCACTTCATGTCGTCCGAGCCATATGGGATATTTACAAATGCATTGCGGATTTATGCCTTTCATTATACGCTTTTTCGTCATTTAGTTATTCGTTTTCGTGCCCTAACCTTAGACGGCGGTTACAACGATAGGAACCGGGAGTTGCTTGTTCTCATTTTCAGACCGACTATACACATCACCATATGCTAGCAGGTCAGGACGATGTTACTCTCATTATGCTCTCGTTGCCCGTCTACTTTAAATAGCATCGCCTCTATTGCGCGCGCAACTGACCATCCAGTTCCTTTGTGTGCTGTTCCTCCGGCTAAGCTTCAAGGACCCGACGTCATTTTATCATAAAGTACCGGTTTATCATCACTAACACTTTAGGATTATTCGTGCAGACCGCATGTTTGGTTACTCTTTGTACACTTAGAACCTTGCAATCGCACCGCCTGGAGTAGGACCGAGACCTGTCACGTATCATTTCGAAAGCGGTCTGTGTCCAGAATTTCTCTTTAGCACTGTATCCACTACTGAGTCTACAGCTATATTTGTGGCACTGGATTCTTCCCGGTGGTTCCATTGGTTTTCCAGTAACCTAGGATATGTATCCTCTTGGTCATAGTCCTTCACGCAGACATACTTCACTTTACGATACAATGACCAAGTGGCGGATTAACCCGCTTTTATAGCCTTTTTCTCCATAATTCTGCATGCCTGGCTTCGATTCAATTATCAACAACGAC